TGACACCTAATGAGCAGGAAGGGGCCTGAGCAAGCACTCAGTCATCCCTGCTCTGATGCCCAGGGAGACTCAGGGGCTGGGCCCTGGCTGCCTGGCGAGCTGGCCTTGTGATGGTGGTTGACAGAGGGTCTGGAGTGGAACAGGTTTCCTTCTGGAAAGCCCAGGGAGAGTGTGGTGTTTCTGGACTCTGGAGGTGCCCGCAGACAAGGTGTCAGACTTGGCTCCAGCCACACCCCAAGGGTCAATCTCCAGGACTCCCAGCTTCTTGCCTGCAGGGTGACAAGGCCATGCTTACTGGCGCAGGTTCTTAGAGGTACTGCGGGCTCCGTCCCATGACAGGGGCTCGGGAGATGCTGGCATTTCTCCACCATTTCATTTGGTTTCTGGAGTGAGGACAGCGTGATTGTTTGGTCTTGGTTTTCTGAGCCCTCCTTCTCTCTGGGGGGCTACCTCCAGCGAACCCCCCTGCGGGGCTGATTTCGGGGTGCCAAGTTCAGGCACTGCAGGAGAGCGCATGCGACCCTCTCCCCCTGCGCCCGGCCCAGCCCTGGGGAGGCCAGCCCCCCGCCCAGCCCGGCCTTTTAACTCAATACTCCCTGCACAGCCCCATGCAAATTGCTGGAGTGCTGGTGCCTGGTTTCTCAGGAAGGCTTCTCCATCCAAGCCTTTGTCCTTCCGCTCACATTAAATGCTGTCAACATTTTTTCCCAATGAAGTTCTTCCTCCCCCTGCACAGTCCCGGTCTCCAGCCGGCTTCTCCAGCCAGGGACACAGTTGGATTGCAATTGCTAGCACTTCCTGGAGATCAGGTCCCCTAGGAGCTATAAAAGTCCAGGAGAGTTTCTGGCCCCTCTCGGCGTGGCTGGGGCGCTGCGTGGCCTGTGCCCGCCCTCGCCCCTCAGAGCCACGAGCGGGCTTTCCGGGAGGCCCTGGGCTGGCAGCCTGTGTTACCTATGTCACTGGTGTCCGCTGCCAGTTTGAATTTCTGAAATGGATTTGCTGATTACAGGCGCTGGGGGCCCCCCACTGTCCGTAATGGGCGCAGAGCCGGGGTGGGTGGATTTGGGTAACGGCTGGGCTGCATTCCTCCCATTCTTTTCTCACAGGAAAAAGTGCCTGGAAATAACCCCAGGGGGGATTGCTTACCGGAGGAGCCGGCTGCCTGCCACCGCCTCACATTTGGTCCTCTCGGCCTCTCCAGCTCGCCCGCCACCTCCCCTCTAGGCAGATGCCACCAGCTGGGCGGGCACTGGGGTTGCAGATACCCCTCCATGGGTCTGATGACCTGACCAGCTGGCCGCCCTCTTGCCACCCTCACTTGTCAGGATGGTGGCCGCATTCCTGGGGACTTCCTCTGCCAACCCCAGACGCTGGGCCTTTTTTTTCAGTGTTGGCATTGGGGGTTGAACCCAGGGCCTTGTACATGCCGAGCACACGCTCTACCGCTGAGCTGCAGCCTCCGCGTCCAGACGCTGTGCAGAATAGGGCAGTGCTGGGTGCAATCACCCTCCACCCCTCCCTCCTTCCTTCCTTCTTTTTTTTCTTTTTCTTGAGACGAAGGCAGCCTCAGGAACTGAGAAGGAAAAGCCCGACAGTTGAATGAAGGTGAATCTCCCCGCAAATGGGACCGGCCGCTGGGCGTGGGGTGTGGTTTGGCGCCTGGCTCAGCCAGGGACGCTTTCCTTCTCCAGCCCCCAGTCCCTGGGGACTTCAGAGCAGGCAGTCTCTCCCGGGGAGAGTCTGGAGTGTGCGTGTAAGGAAGTTTCTCTGTTTTCCAGGGCCCCAGCTCTGTCGCAGTTTACAAGAAGGCAGCTGCCACCTCATGGCCTCAGCACCTGGCCACCAGGGCCCCTGCAGGGGCGATGCTTCTGGCGTCCCCATGGCCGGACCCTCGTCCCCGCCCTCACCTGGCCGGCTCTCCACAGGGTCTGGCCCAGAAGGTGCCTGGAAGTCCTCCTGTCTTTGTGACTCTCCCGCCTCCCCTCAGCCAGCAGCCTCCTCCTAGACCTGGTTTCTAAGTGTCCAGTGATGGGCCCGATGAAACGTGTATGTCAGGGACAGGCCGGCTGGTGTGGCCGCTTCAGCCCTGAGGTCCCCAAGCCTCTCCTTTCCTCACGCAACATCAGGAGACGGGCTCTGACACCGCTGTCCGAATGCCAGAGCAGCAGAGGGCCGCCCGCGGGAAGGGCCAGAGGCGTCTGCCAGGCGAGGGCTTCCCTTTACAGTGTGCCGTGCGCACGCGGGGCTGGGGGCGCAGAGAGAGCCTCTTTTGAAGCCCCCAACTCTGATTTGTGCACTGATTTGTGGCAAAACCTCCACCTCGTGCCTAACCCCACAGGACCCCCGGGCCGAAGAGCCGTGCCTGCCTGCCCTTGTCACTGTCTGGTTGGGTTGTGCTCGCCTATTTTGGGGTCAGCTGGGTGTTAAAAAAAAACACTTGTATAAAGAAAGCTGTGCAGTATGAGTGCAAATCAAAGAGATGGCGGGAAAAAGAAAGACCTCGCAAACCCGCCGCCACAACTAAGTGGCTTCCCGTCTCCCGCCAGGCCTTGGTCTGCACTCACCTGCAGACGTAGCTCTTACGGTTATAGTCCCCGTGGAGGTGGAGCTTTGCATTCTGTTGGCTTTATTTAGTATTCTCCCACAAGCTATGTGATCATCACAATTAGACTTTCCAGTGGCTGCATAGTAGCCAGTGAGTTTTTAATCAGTTTTCCCATTGTTGAACCTTTGGTGTGTTCAGGTTTTAACTTACGTAAATGATAATGCATTAATAATACTTGTCAAGGAAACCGCATTCACACTCATCGATATATCCCGTAAGTGTATGTACGTGTGTGTACATGTGTCAGTGTGTGTGTCTTCCTCTTTCCCTCCTTTCCTTCTCTCTTTCTTTGTTCCCGTTTTGTATATTTTCTCAGGGCAAGTCAGGGAGCCAGGCATTCTTTCCTAGAGTGGTGGGAGGTGCCGTTCAGGGTTGTGGAATACCAGCCTGAAGTCAGGCGCCTGGGAGCAACCGCAGGACCCAGATCCTCGTCTAAGTCCGGCCTTGGACCAGTGTTGGGAAGTGAGTTAGGTGGCAGAGGCCCTGTTTGAAAGGCTGGTAGCTCTACATTTCTGTTGTTGCTCTGGTTCTGAACCTGCTGGCCCAGGTGCGTAGATTCCAACCTGTACGTTTACCTTGTTGAGAAGTTCCTAAGTGCACCCCCCACCGGACCCCATTCAAAGCAAGAGAAGTAGATTTGGTGCTCACCCCCAGGAATCTTGCGGTCTGAAGGGGTTACTATTGGATTACATGTTTAAAACATGGTGCAGATGGAACAAAGGATATCTGTGGTTAGGGTGCCGTTTGTGGCCCCTGCTTTCTGTGTTGTGTGTCAGTTGTTGTGGTGAGCACCCTGGGGTGGGGCTACAAGGAGCATAAAGCTATAAAATTACCCCAGATCACACAGAATCCAACACAGGAAGCGTCAAGTGATCGGTGACTCGAGTGGGACGGGAGATGTGCTGCTCCAGATGTGCCCAGTGGGGACGGTGACCCTGCTGAGGGTATAGGCAGCCCTCCCGAGGGGGCCGCTCCTGCAGTTAGAACTAACCGGGGCATCTTGAAGTCCCTGTTCTCTGCACACCGTCCGGTCAGTGAGGAGACGGGGGTATCTGTTGCCTGTCTGTCTGACAGTCTTCAGCAGGAGACCACATCTTGACTTTCAGCCCCTCTGGCAAGACCTTTGAGACAAGCCAGGCCTGGATGAGCAGGGCTGATGCAGGGTGGGAACTGGGCAGCTGGGTGAGGGGGGTGCTGAGTGAGCCGCTCCTCCACGTTCCCTCTGAGCAGGGAAGACCTCTCCCCGTGGGCAGGTAGCAAGTGTTTCCTGCAGGCACGTGGGAGGCGGCATTGCCGGACCCCAGCCGTGCTGAGAGCTGCAGAGACCGCTGGAGGCGGTCTTTCTGAGGCACTCTGAACTGCTCCGGAAGGAGAAGGAAGTGAAGGCGCCCGCATCACTCCAAGCTTTCCCCAGATGACAGCCCTGACGTACGAGCCTAGTGATGCTTAAGAAATACGACTTGCTGGGGAAATAAACACCCTGTGTTATTTATTATTTATTGGAAAAACAAAGCTTCCCTCAGCTGGGAGGTTTCAGATCACTGACAACGTCAGGTCCAATTTTTCTCCATTAATAACAGGTCGGTATCCTTCCCGCAGAGTCGGGAGTGTGAGGGTGGGTCTGGGTGCGCCTCTGGCGGGTGGTGACTGCCGGGAGGACGAGAAGCGGGTGCTGAGAGTCAAGGCTGCGGATGCGCCTGGGCCCATAGCCTGTGTGGACGCTGTGCTGGGCACCTCTGTATCCTCTCGTGTGACCCCCTCCAGGACTCGGGGGGGGCAAGGGGAGGCAGCTGTGGAGCCCCAGCGGTCAGGAGAGGATGCTGACGGAGATGTGTGCGTCTCCTGAGAGGACAGACTCCTGGAAGTTGGAATCAAGGCGGGATGGGCTTTGCTTCCGAGGGTTGAATGGAATCCAGGGACCTAGAACATCGTGAGGAAGTGACCATGGGTCAGCGTAGAGGAAGGGCTGGACCAGTGGGGAGAACTTTCTGGAGGGGAAGGTGAGGTGATGTCTGGCTGACTTGAGGGCCACGATATTGTGACCTGGAGTAACTGCAGTGCCGTCGCCCCTGGGTATCCAAGGAGGGGGTTGGTTCTGGGACCCCCACAGACACCAAGATCTGCAGATGCTCCAGTCCCTTACATTAGTGGCGAAGTATTTGTGTATAACCTACGCACACCCTCCTGTATACATTCAGTCATTGCTAGATGCTTACAATACCTGATACAATGTAAATGCTATGTAAATAGTTGCTGGCATGTGGCAAATTCAAGTTTGGCTTTTTGGAACTTTCCCGAATTTTTTTTTTAATTGAAGTATAGTCAGTTACAACGTGCCAGTTTCTGGTGTACAGCACAATGTCCCAGTCATGCATATGCATACCTGTATTCGTTCTCATGTTCTTTATCGGGAAGTTTTTTTTTTTTTTGAACATTTTTGATCTGAGATTGGTTGAATCCTGCAGATACCAAGGGCCAATTGTATTGGCAAAGACAATACCTTTGCAGTATTGAGTGTGTCTTCTCCACAGTGAGCCTCCTGGCAAGCAGGTGAAGAAGGGCAGAGCTGGGTTATTTCCACTTAATTCGCTTGAGTGTGGTGTGGTTTAAGGATGTGGGTTTTGAAGCTGGACAAATAGTCTTCCGTCCTTGATGAACCTGTTTAAATCTCTGGACCTTGGTTTCTCCATCTGTAAAATGGGAAGATTAAGATTTCTCTCATGGGGTGTTTTGTAAAGGTCAAACACCTGAAATAGTCCCTGGCACACACTGAACTGTGAATAATTAATGGTAGCTGCTAATGTTGTCGGTGTAGACCGAGGACGAGAGGCCCGGAGAGGTGACTTGTCTTGCTCAAGGTCACCGAGCTGGTGAGGAAGCAGCCAGGACTTGAACCAAGGTCTCCCAACCTCTTACACCGTGTCCTCCTATTGTCTTAGCCCCCAGCCCTTCCTCCCCTTCCCTGATGAGATGGACGCTTGGCGGACACGGGCAGGCAGGCGCCGCCACCGCCCAGGACGCGTTTATGCCTGAATCGTAAGTTGCGGGCCGTGTCCCTGCATAGATGTGATTATAGGGTGCTGACAGAGAAGCACTCCCTGATGAAAACGATGAACAAAAACGTACCAGGGCTTTATTATTCCCCAGGCAGCTCCATTGTGTCTCTCTCCCCTTCCCCACCCCTCCCTTCACCCCCTAAAAAAAATAAAAGAAATGGAAAGATGAAGGGCTGTCAGCACCGGATCACAACACGGGCTCCAGGAGTTGGCGGCTTTTCAGTGCCTGCAGAGTTCCCTCCTCTTCTTGCTCCCCTCAACTTCTTGCTTTCCTACCTTTAATTAAGACAAATCTGAGCACACTGCCCCTCAAAGCAGGGAGCCTCCCAGTTCTGTCTCACATTGGGTCTTTCCTTGAGCTCTCTTTGTCCCCATCCCTGTCCCCGAATGCCTCTTGCAAGAGCTACTGAAGTGGCCACCAGCTGTCTGCCTCTGTGATGTCCTACTCCTGCCCCAGAACCTTCCACAGCTCCAGCACTAACTCAGGTCTGTGCTTCCGAGCGTCGCGGGCGAGCTGACCTCAGCCTACCTTTGCCGCGGCGCCCCCGCTGCTCCTCGGACAAAGCGGATGGCTCCGCGGCTCTGGCCAGCTTGCTGCTTCCTGGACGGGTCTGGAAATTACCTGCCTTTGGTCACGCAGTTCCTTTTGCTTGGAAAGCCCTCACCCCGGTGGAATCGGGCCCGTTCTTCAAGGCTTAGTTGAAGCGCCAGCTCTCCTGGCACATTTCTCTCCGAACGTGCTCCTACTTCGGCTGGCGCACAGCGGAGACGGAATTAACGGAGAGCCCCATTTGTCCCTGCGGGGCTCTTCCAGGCCCCCTCGGAGCTTTGCTGCCTGCCCCCCTTTCCCACAAGCCGTGGAGCGCATTTGCTCCTTGATTGCACATGATCTAAGTTCTTAGGCATGTTCCTTTTCAGGTTGGAAGTTCTCTTACTGTTCCCATCATTGTCTGTTCCATTCTGGGCCTGGAGGCTCAGACAGCAGGAGGGTGTAGCAGGAGCCAGGAGTTGTCCCCGCTCTGCTCCAACCAGCTGTGTTTCGGGGCAAGCAGCTCCCTTCTCTGGCCCTCACGTCCTCATTTGTGAACCAAGGGGTTGGATGAGCTGCTCTCTAGGCTTTGTGGATGGGGTTTTAAAATGTAGTTGTACTGAGATATACTTCCCATAAAATTCTCCCATTTTCACAGGCTGAGTGGTGTCCCTTCCAGATTCATATGTTGAAGTCCTAACCCCTTGTACCTCAGAAGGTGACTGTATTTGGAAATAGGATCTTTAAAGAGGTAATTAAGGTTAATTGAGGTCATGAGGGTGGTCCCTCTTCCAGACAACTGTTGTCCTTTGAGAAGAAGAGATTAGGACACAGACATGCACAGAGACAGGACCCTGAGGAGACATGGGGAGGAGACAGCCGTCTCCAAGCCGAGGAGAGGGGGCCCAGAATGAAACCAAACCTGTCAACGCCTTGGTCTTGGGTCTCTAGGCTCCAGAAAGAGAAGAAGATAAACTTCTGTTGTTTAAGCCACCCGGCCAGTGCTGCTTTGTTGGCAGCCCTGACGAATGAATCCAACCATTCCACGTAAAACTCAGTGGCTTACTATGTTCACCAGGTTGCGTAGCCTTCACTGTAATCTACCTCTGAGCATTTTCTCGCCCCCTAAAAAGCCTCCGTACCTGTTACTAGTCACTCCTCCTTTCCCCCCGGTCCTTACTCCACTGCCAGCCCTGGTCAACCACGAATCCGTGTTCTGTCTCTGTGGACTCGTCTGTTGTGGACATTCCTTATGAGTGGAATCACACAGTATGGGGTCTTTTGTGACTGCCGTCTTTTGCTCAGTATGACGTTTCAAGGTTCGTCCACGTTGCAGCCTGTACCACTGCTCCCTTCCTTCCCGTCGCTCAGCAATGACGCATTGTGAGCATGTGCCGCCTTCTGTTTCTCCATGAGCACTCGATGGACCTGTGGGTTATTTCAGTTTGGGGCCAGTGTGAATAACGCTGCAGTGAACAGTAGTGTACGAGCTTCTGCGTGGACATGTTACCATCTCTCATAGTTACGTTCCTAGGAGAGGAACTGCTGGGTCATATGATAAACCGATGTTTAACTTTCTGAGGAACCACCAAACTGTTTCCCAAAGCAGGGGCACCATTTTGCATTCCCACCAGCAGTGCACAGGGTTCCAATTTGTCCACACTTGTTATGGTCTGCATTTTATAGCCATCCTAGTGGGTGTGATATGGTATCCCATTGTGGTTTTGATTTGCATTTCTCTGATGATGAACAATGTTGAGCATCTGTTCATGTGCTTATTTGTCATTTGAGTATAAATACCTATTAATATACCTTGCATACTTTTCAGTTGAGTCGTCTTTTAATTATTGAGTTGTGCGAGTCCTTTATATATACTAGTATAAGCCCCTTATCAGATCTGTGAGTTTTTCCATATTCTGTGGGTTGTCTTTTTATTTTCATTTTTTAAAATTTTGATGAAGTCCCAGTTATCTAATTTTTCTTGTGTTACCTTTGCGTTTGGTGCCTTATCTAAGAAACCGTTACCTAACCCAAGTTCACAAAGATTTACTCCTATGTTTCTCCTAAGGGTTTTATAGTTTTAGCTGTTACGTTTGTGTCCACGATCCCTTTTGAGTTAATTTTTGTGTGTGGTGTGAGGTAGGGGTCCAGGTCCCTTTGTGTGTCTGTGGACATCCAGCACCATTTGTTGAAATGGATGGGGTCTTAGGGTCACTTGGAGCAGCTGCCATCTCAGGAGGAGTGGGGGGATGGGTGGTGTGGAGCCTGGCTCAGGGAAGATGCGCTGGGTTCCCTTTTCCTGTCCTCCTGCAGCAGCACTGACACAAAGCCCCCAGCCCCTGCCCGACAGTATTGTGTGTTGAGATTTTATACTTCTGTGTTTAACTTGTTCTTCACAACTTCCGGAATCGGCTGGTGGGCTGCTATGTCATTGACTCTGTGACGGTGAGGGTCGGCACAAGAGGCTGTGGGCCTTCTATCTCAGCAAGGGTGTTCCTGGCTCACGAGACCTGCTGGAACCAACAGCAGAGAAGTTACCACCTTCCTTCTACCCCAAGTCCAGGTGATGGGCCCTTGCAGGCTCTTCCTCCAGTTGGGGAGGAGATGACCGTGACAACCAAGACCAGAGGTGATGGATGTTTGGGGGGAAAAGGAAAGAGGGCATTTTCAGCTTTTTGGCTCCTTTAATCCAACCCTGCTTTCAGGCCAGGCAAAGACATTTTCTTTCCCCTTAGCACTTTTTCAGCAGCGCTAATAGGTCCCCCGGGTGGATTTAAGGGGGGTTAGTGAGACAAGTTATGGTTATACCAGACTCTAGGTTACACGTCTCCCTTTTCTCCCAGGCCTCCTGGGCCAAGGCTCAAGCACCGTCTCCCCCACCATGAGAGCTGGGCCAGACGGCCAGGCACCGGGCAGCCTGCTGGGGAAGGGCAGGGGGAGGGCAGTGGGGCCCTCGGAGGGCACAGACCCTCTCCTTTCGCCCACTGTCCACAGCATGGGAAGGTCATTGGCAAACCTCTCCTGCGGGGCCCTGACTCTCTTCCGGGCTTCCTCCCATCCTCCTCACGGACCCCACTGCAGTCACGCAGTCCCCATTCCAGGCTCATTTGTCCTGCTTACCTCTGCATCTGCAGCTCGGAGAGGCTAAGCAGTTGTTGGATGAACGGAGGGTGAGTGCGAGCTTTTCCACCTGGAGCACAGGCTGTGCCCTCCCCTCTTTCCCCAGCGCCCTCTGGCCATCTTTGCTCAAGGTCGGCTTATAGATCTTGTCCGTAAAGCCTGGCTACTCCTTCTTGCCCCCCAAATTGAATATGATGATCTCTTTTCAATCTTCTCTTCTTTATGTTTCTGCCTCTGTTTTGCCACTTGCCGCTCTGCCCCGCAGTGAAATATTTGCGTGTGTGTCTTAGTCCCAGGATTGGAACACGGGGTGTGAGGTGGGGACCGTGCTTTCTCCTTGTGTGTTTCTCCTCGCTCGGTCTCCACCACACCCAGCATGGCGTTCTGCAGACATTGCCACAGAGTCAGCCTAGCCCAGAGGCTGCTGGGGCTGGCCCACCCGCCACTGCCCCCTCCCCAGCTCTGTGCTGCCCGGCGGATTGTCCTGGGCTTCACATCCTGGAGTAGGAAGTATCTGCAGGAGACAGATGTCAGCGTGCGGCCCTCCCTGTCCATTGTGTGTAGGTTACGTATCTCTGTGTGGGGAGCATCAGGCCACTGCATGACTGAGGCATTATCCTCGACTCCTGGTGGGAAGAGTTGGAGCAGATAACACATCAGTGGTAATCCTATGCTCTGCCCTCGAGGATGCAGAGCATCTCTGGCGGGAGCTGCTGCCTGTGGACGTCAGACTCACCTGCTGCTGCGGAGCTTCTCCTTCCAAATGATGAGGCAGCTCTCTGTCCCCTCCTCTCTGCAGGGCCACCCCCACCCCCCACTACACACCTCCAGTCCTGACCTGGAAGGGGGGTGAGTGCGGCAAGAGGCCGCAGGGAGGGAGAGAGGGGCACCGAGCTGCAGAGAGCCTTGAGGAAGACCCGCTGGCCTGGAAGCTCAGGCTCGGTGGGTGCCGGGCCCCCAAGGAGAGGGAAGGGAAGAGGAAAGCAGCCTGACCGTCCACACCAAGGGGAGCTTTCTCTTTCCCAAGCCCTTCGTATAGATTTCCAGGTTTGAGTCTCACGACAATCTTAGGAGCTGTTTTTAGCTCTATTTTCAGACCCAGGTCTATGGAGCAGAGGGGAGGTGGCCTGTTACTGAAATTAGTGGCAGGGACAGGCAGGGCCCCCACCCCTTGGGTAGGAAGCCACACCGTTCCTGGCGCACAGTGGCCGGTTCATGCACGTTTGTCCCATTGATGAATAGCGGGCACTCAATAATTAATAGCTGGTTTGACACAAAAGCAGAATTTTCTGGATATTGAACTGAGTGGTTTCTCAGGTCCCTGCTTGCCCTGAAATGCTGGGGTTCCGTGGTTCCCTTGGCTGGGAGGGACAGGCTCCTCACTGCGTGGCCTGGCTGTGCAGGGTAGGATTAACCTCCGGGGTCGGCGAGCGTGCAGAGCTCAGGAAATGCCTCTCTGTGATCTGTATTTGGTCCAGAGACAGGTGGTGGAGCCTGGAGGAGGGGAAGTCTGCCGACCGCTCCCGGGCAGGGGGAAGGGAGGCCCAGCCCAGCTGCACTGTCTTCTGATGGATTGAAGGCCTTCAGGCTGAGTCCCTGGTGCGTTTAGATTTTAATTGGGGAGCTGGACGCTGTGCCTTAACTCCCAAGTCAAGGACTTGTCCCCTGACCCTGTAGCTCACTGTCTGCTGGTGGGGGAAGGAGGGCCATCCATGGGGCGCTTGCTGGCATCCAGGCCCCCTGGCCCTCTTGTCAGTGAACCTCCCCCAGGCGCCGGTGCTCAGGGCAGGTGCTGTGCTGCGTTTCTCAGCTGCATCTGTGGCCTCCAGGAAATTCCTTCCTTTGAGCCATTGTTGCCTCTGCCTCTTGTGTGCTGAGGGAGCCCAGGAATATTCGAAGGGAGTCAGTTTCTGTGTCTGCACTGCAAACCAGGGTGAGGGGCGTGGAGGAGGCGTTCTCCTCGTACAGAGGGAGACACTGAGGCCCTGGGGGGTCACTGGCAAAGCCGTGATGACGCAGGCCGGGGGGAGGGCGGGCGTCAGGGTACCCACTCCAGGCTGTGCGCCTTCGTGGATCTGTTTGTGAACTTGCGAGGCGCCCGTGAGATTAGCCACCGAGCAGAGGTCTTATTTATGACGGCGCCTCAGATTCCCGTCCTGCTGCCTGCAAGACTCTGCTTCCATCGCTGGT